TGTTCTTACACGTATCAAAAGGTAATGATCGTTGTATCATAGCATGTGTACTTATACATATATTCTATACATAACGTTGCTTTCCTCGATCATTTCAAGTGTTGATTGAAGAAAAACTTTTAAATACGTCAAGTTTCTATATCAACAGCTCTACAGCATTTCTTGGAATCTGAGTTATACCATCATATCTCAATTTCAAATGTTTCATGCACGTAGTAAAACAAACTTGTTATCAATCTCAAGTAATCTCGTTAAAAATGAGAACAAACAAAACCATAAACAACCATCAGTACTGATACGAGAAAATCTGTTTTTAAAATAGAAGGAAAATCGCAGAATTTTGAACTTGAAGTTTAGTATTTTAATAGAAACTAAAGAAAAAGAAACTGTAGAATTTGCTTAAGTTTCTCGTTATGTAGAACCAGTAATAATAATAATATTTACAAACCATTATAGAAGGAAAATACTAAAAAAAAGTTCAGATCTTTCACTATTCATACTTAGAGTAAAACGAAATCTATGTTTTTTAACAACAAATTTCATGTTACAATTTCTACCATTTAAATAACTAATGAAAACCCAGACTTTCTGTTTATAATACCAAAATCATCATCATTATATCTACGGTAGAGATTTATATTCTTTAGAACACTGTTTTTAAATTTTTTATTCATGATAACAGATAAATACGACTGCTTCGCTATGGACAAGTCTTGAACACACTAGTCCTATATTACATTTTTCTATCAACACCTACTCTGCGAGTCAAGTAGACAAGTTTGGTGAGTTGATTCCTAAACAAAGCTTTCTGGTTCTCTCTCTCTCTCTCTTTTTTGGAACCGAAATTTGAATTCCTTGCTATATCTGAAATCTGAATTGCTTACCAGTGTGGCTGAATCCGCACTAGTTTCCAGATTATGAGGTACTAAGACCAATAATATTCTTAACAAGATTATGTTGAAAAATACTGGAAGCTTTACAAAGTAGAAATCAAAATTAAAAATCTTACAGTCAGATCCAATTATCAGGCAAGAGGTAGCACTGCCTGTTTAGATTGTTCATCGAAGTGGTGTTTTAAATATCTCCACAGAACTTTACAATACTATACAGTGTTTCCTTTTATAACAATACCTATGTAATGACTGAGACACAAGTTCTGGGAATGTCTGTAAATATCATAGCAAAAAGTTTGAATTTCTTGTGCTTCTTTCTTCTTTTTTATTACATGATAACTCAAAAACCAAAACAATGGTGTCAACCAATTTTACTGAGGTGACATAGTTTCAAACGGAATATACGCTTTTATAAGTATTATTAATAGCTAGTAGTAATTTAAAACATCATAATTCTAGTGTAAGCGATGTTATCATTACCCCTTGAAGTTAGCTTTTGTTACAAAAGTACAGGGTGAAACAGGAATTACCAGCCAATAATAGATAAACAAAACAATATTACACTTAGAACTTCACTGTATTTAGAACTTAGTTATAAGTACAACCTTCCTATGTCTATTGAAACACTGTATAAAAAAACAAGTAAAGAAAAACTTTTCAAAAAAGGAAGTAATTGTGGGGATGGCTAATATCAATCCTTCGAAAACAATGCAAACAAGATAGTAGGGATGACATTTGAATCATCCATACATAATAGCACAGGCAAGAAATAACATATAGGAATATATATATAGTTATTCATTCATAATTGAGTTGAATTTATTCTATTTTTATCTGTTAATATTCTACTACACTGTGTGGTTGTGCTATTATGTAGGGATGATGCAAATTCCATCCCTACTACCTTGTTTACATTGTTTTCGAAGGATTGATATTAACCATCTCTACATTTACGTCTTTTTTTGAAAAGTTTTTTCTTTACTTGTAACATAATGTACGAACAACGAGGGGTAACTTGGTCTTTCAAAGATAGCCCTCCCCATACACTCTTGGGAAAATGTGAAGACTCAAACCAATCTTTATTTTTCAGGAAATTAATTATTCCTCTTGTAAATTTTTGTGAAGTACTGGCCTCCACTACTCATTCCATGAGTTAATCACCCTTTTATAAAAATAAAACTGTCTTAATTGGACCCTAGCTTGTCTTTTACAATTCTTAAACTTGTGTCCTTTCATCCTATTGTCTTCGGAATACATCAGAGGACTTTATTCTGTCTCCACGATCACCTTATAAACTTCAATAAGCTCACTTTTTAACCCTTCTTTTCTCAAGAGAAATGATTTGAGATATCTTAGTCTTTCTCCTTATGAAAACCTTTACAGCCTCAGTCAACTCATAGTTTTCAACAAAAACCTTGTCTGTGGCATCCTTTAAGGACTGGATCCCACATTTTAATATTTCTGTTACCTTTAACATACTTAAAAATATTTGGTGTTAGTTTTAACATTATCAGGCAGATGTTTTCATATATGCTTTATGGTTTCATAATTTATTTTTTAAATGCGTTCTAGTTTTTCCTATAGTTAAGCAAATCTTCCAACCCATCTGTCAATTTAAACTTCTTAGATTTATGGCATTTAACTTTCATTTTCTTTTTCTTTCTGTAGAAGGCCAGTAAGGTTTGATCTTACCTGTTATCTGCTTCCTCCTTTTATGACCATACATATCTTGAATTAAAAACAATTTATTTGTAGAAATAAAAAAAATCTTCGCCACGCCGCCTCTCAAGTCATTTTAATTCAATTCACTAAAGAAAAATCATGTCTCACGGCTTCAAAACTTGCTTACTTAAAATTCGGTTTAATTTCATTTCTTTTTATTTCAACATGTAATAAAACATAAACTTAAATATACAATGATTGTTCTTCCTCAAATATTCCTCCATTTCAACTCTTGTTACAATACCCCCAGAGGCACTTACAAATAAAGAACAAATTACTTTCTCAGAAACTATGCAATCAGATTTTTCGAACTGATGGAAAACAACATTTAAAGCCTAGTGTAGTGTTTTACAGTTCCATTAGCCCGAATTCAAGGTTTGTACAATGCTTTTTATGTCAGAACTTTACACGTTAAAGATATGTTTTCTTAATCACAGCATCAGATACAAACAATTATAGTTTTGACTTATTTTGAACACTAAAGTTTATTTGTTTGTGATTAAGCGCAAAACTATACTATGCGCTATCCTTGCTCTGCCTACCGTGGATATCAAAACCAGATTTTTATATTTTTATCCCTCAAACTTGCTGCTGGTTAGACTTGTTACTTAGAAAAGAGCCCTCTTTTCCTATTACCACTAAACATTTTATGTACTTAAAACTGTTGAGATAGAATTGAAATTCTTTAGCTAAAGATCTTCAACAAAAGAATTTCACGTCTTTCTTAACTATCAGTAAAACAACAGCATCTCGTGAGTAGCCTTTAAACCACATTTGATGTAAGCATGTTTAGTTCTTGAGCGGAACATATTTGTAATAAATATGCTTTTTCAACGCAGAAGTTATTTTTACTTTTAGAATAGTATTACTGGGTTACGTCACACATGATAAACTCTTTCAGAAATAACGAAAACTGGAAATAAATATGTTTTGAATTAGACATATTTTACAGCTACATGAAGTAGTTCTCTCTCATAAAAGGAGCTGATGTAGGTACCGAACTGATACTACTCCCCTTGCTTTATTCTCCTTTGACCTTATAATTACGCTAATAATAGGTAAAATGCTTATCAAAGTTCAATTACATATGTTATGTGTTGCACTTTTCGCAGTCCTACCCCTGTTTATTGAACATGAGAGGTGCAGGTTCAAGAGTATTTCGCATACTTTCAATCAAATTCAGCCAGCCTTCACTTTTTTATAGGATAACATCAACTTCAAACTTTGTAACCGCTGAAACACTATTTTCTACCTAACTCAATATGACTTTGAAAAGGATGGCTTGGTATGATGCCTGGAGGACAACATGGGTCATCGGTTCTAGTTATTTTCTTCTCGAAACTTTTATAGAACCCATAAAATGTATTAGTAGACTGAGAGAAATTTTTGTGTTATTATTGGCAGGTCATGATAAAAAACAAAACGTTAAAAGAAACAAGTACACAAGGCATTCGTAAAAAAAATTCTAATTTAAACAATTATATTTGATGGAACCAATCGTGACCACCAAAGTTTATGTATTTAGCTTTCTTCTTGATATTCAAAAATAAACAGAGGAAAGTATACATACATTGAAATCGAAACAAAAATGCATCGCTTATAACCTCGTGTATACTTTATTCACTGAACGCCCCTACGTTCCATGTTAAATGTTTTATCATCAGCTTATTCACGAACGCCCCTACGTTCCATGTTAAATGTTTTATCATCAGCTTATTCACGAACGCCCCTACGTTCCATGTTAAATGTTTTATCATCAGCTTATTCACTGAACGCCCCTACGTTCCATGTTAAATGTTTATCATCAGCTTATTCACGTAACGTCCCCTACGTTCCATGTTAAATGTTTTATCATCAGCTTATTCACGTAACGCCCCTACGTTCCATGTTAAATGTTTCATCAGT